TAAAAGCAAAAATCTTGTTTAAAAAATTTAATCAATTTTAAAAAATGTAATAGATTACCTTCAAATTTTTTAAATATATATATTAAACATTTACTTATAATTGAATCAATGAAATTTCTTATTTCCTCTGATTTTCCTGAAATTATCTGTCTTGAAAAGTTCAAGAAATAATAAAACTCTGCCATTGACGAATAAATTATTTTTCCTCGCAACCGGAAAAGACGTGCTTCGGATGAATATACAAAGGTAGCATAACTATAATGGTTTATAACGATATTAGCATATCGCAACTATATTTGCCACGATAGCTTTACAAATCGATCGTTTCTGCAGCCGCGCATGAAACAATCTCCGTCACATCTTCGAGCGTAACTAACGTTTATTGGTTCTCATTAAAGGCACTTGATTCTCAATTGCCTCGTCTTGCCTTCCAGTTATCTAGGTAAATGTGTGCGATACACACGCACAAGTAAATATTATATAATAAATATGAATAATTCAAAAGTAGTTACGCATCAAAAAAATATAAAAGCTTACGTCGCTCGATTAAAATTGTTATTTTTGTTACATTTAAATTGTTATATTTTTCTTATATTTAAATTGCTATATTTAAATTGTTATATTAAATTATTATATTAATTATTGATATATTAAATTGTTATATTTAAATTATATTTTCGTGCTTCTATTTTCCATTATCTTTAAATATCTTGTTTCATCCGAAACGTCAGCGCTATCTTACTGCTCCGTATTGTATGCACGTTCGAGGGAAATCGGAACGGCGTTGATACGAGGCAGCTAAACACAGGTATGTTCTTATTATATACATATATATATATAACATACGCGTACACGGAAAATCTTATCTGCGGATTATCGAATTTCCGAACGTTAGATTAGATTTCTCGACGACCGCGCACGCTCGGCTCTATGCCGGTTTCTGAAAATAAACGCGTATGATACCGTCATCGTCGCCAGTACTCCACCCGTTATATATAACATATAGCGGCTTCGACATGTACACAGAGTTTATGTACAGTGTATATAGAGTGACGTGAGTACACGCAATTTCGTGGAGGAGATTTATTAAATTATCGAAATTGTTTCATAGTTAGATGGAATGTGACTTAAAATAAACTGGATGGAAGGATAGAATCTTTGGCAGATTTGGAACAAATTTTTCTATAATGAAAACGTCAATAGGTCAGTTTTTCAGTTTTCAATATTACTATCCAATATTATTATCTAATTAAAATAAAATTTAAAATTTGAAATTTATTATAAATTAAAGGAAGATTCAATGGTATTAATATAAAAGTTGGCTTCTATAATATGATTCATAAAATAATCAATATTTTAATTCAGTTTTATTTTTGTAATTATTCTCCATTTGAAAATTTTTGAAATTTTGTATTATTGCTTATTATAAGGGATCCGTTCAAATCTATAAAAAATTAATTATGTCGACCATTATTAATACTGATAATTAATAATCATTGTGAAATTTTACATTTTGTCGATATTTTAAATTCCGCAATATTTGCAGAATTTCAAATCTAAATTATTTAGATAAAATATTGCATAGATTATTCTTTATAATTTTTCGTACATCTCGTTTACGTGATTTTTCTCGGCACTCGTAGAAATCGCGCTTCTCGAAATAATTTTTCGCAATTTATCGAGGGCATCTATTTGTGTCCTCGTCTAGAGGAACGTCTATCATATTGATATGATAGATGACATTTTAATAAATACTAATATCGAACACGTCTCATGCTGACTAATATTACCGTTAAACATAAAATCACATAATATGACACACTATATTGAAAAAAATAGTTAAATGGACATATTTAATTAATTAGACTTGCTAAAATTTTTTTGCAAGTTGAAATAAAATAAATACGTATGTTTATTATCATTTTTCGATTTAAAAGCTGTCTGAAAAATCGCTAGGTTGCACTGTAAAACATGTAAATATTATATGTTGAATGGCATCGTATGATACAAGTCGAGATGATTTTTCGTTGACAATAATCGTCTTATAACGTCGCGAAATTGTATGTTTTGCATTTTCATATTAGTTGCTTGTTGAAAATTTCAAAGCGGTTCGCCAAAGTTTAGAGTATAGTTTACTCACGTTGCCAATTACAAGTGTCGCATAAACTCCTTTATTGTGGAAACTTGAGCGGCTTATTGTCGCAAACTACGCACGTAACCCCGATATTACTTGCAGCTAATTTTCGCACACATACAGTCTACTATTAATCAAGTTATTTTGACGATTAATGAGAGACTTCACTATCGTCTTATTATATTTACTTTATTGTACCTTGACATTGATATCCGATGGATTTAAAATTTTATACGACAAACAATAATGGCGCGAATCTATTCACAAAATTTTAAAGGTAATGTTAAGGATGTTTTGTACCTATTTTCAAAATATTGAGAATTTAATGAAAATTGTACAGAATGTCCTTACATATGTTTAGAATCTTCGGTACAATTTTTAAATCGATTTACTAAAGCGTTCACAAATTATAAGGATTTTAATTTGCACCGAATTAACATGTGTTCTTATGGGAAACATATAACCACGTCGATTCAAGTGACAAAAACATGTGGAAATAATATTCAGAATTTGTTTAAAATTTGCAAAAGTTTAGATACAGAGGAAATATTTGGTCAAATAATATTATACAAGTACTAACTGGTTAAAAAGATATTAAATATAATTCAATGAAGTTAGCCATATATCTGTCACAAGGCAAAATTCTCTGCCAAAAGTTAATTATTTCGATAAACAAAATTCGGAATATTTCAGTAAAAACGTAATAAATATTAAAAAATACATCTCTGCACTGTAGTTAAGATCAAATTGTAATATTCCACACAATTTCTCATATTCAAAGTACACCAAAAGTGGAAATATTCGTCAATATTGATTTTTAGCTACTTTTTGTTGGGATTGTACATACAAAACATCCTTAATTAACGATTAAATGACAAATTTTAACCTCCTTGATTGACGATTTATAATATGCGTATTGCGCTATATTTCAATTTTCGCGAATTTAATTATAGAATTTAAACTCGCTTCCGCTCTAAGCTTCTATTTCCTGTGAATTCTCTCAATTTCGAAATCACATAGTATATTGACACGTAGACGTACATACACAGTCAACCTATACACATATTTGCTCGGTTTCAAATTCGTCATTTATCGCATAATGAAACGGCACATCGCGGAAACTCGGATCGTTGAAGACTCGAAGCCGAGAAAGAGCAAACTTCCGTGTTTGCTTTATTTTTCAGAGATCTTTCAGCAGCAGAACCGTCACGTGTGTTACGCGCTAAAATCTCGTAAAAATCGCAAACGTTCGTCTTTTCGAGCGGACGAGTCGGGCACGAGTCGATGCGACGTAATGCTTTACGACATACATTTGTCAGATAGCAATTTGACGTTTGCGCGGAACGGCCATTTTGGCGCAACACCGAAATGCGCGACGTTTGGCCACCTACGCGAGGTATGGCGCCGCTATGACGCATGTAGTTTCGTCGGAATTCGAATCTCGTCATTAATTGGACGACGGCTCTCTCGGTTCGCCATTCTGACCCATTTTCTCTCAAACTCCCGTCCAGATTCCGCGCCGAAACTTTCGGCGTCGTTAAGCTTCGCCACGTGGACTATTCGCCGAGATTGATTGTGACCCGGAGAAGTAGGCTCGTTTAGAGAGGGTACGGGCCGGTATTCATCAGCGAGTTTGTATTTCATTAAGTCGAGAACAACGGGAGTAAACAGGGGATAGAGCGCGACGCTTTTGTAATCCGGAAGTGAACCTATCTTGTATGCACGCGTATACTATTCTATTCACTCGAGGACATTCACAGTCGTGTCCCTGACAATGACCCGTGCAATTATGCGAATTCGACATATACGTACATATGCGGCGGGATTAATTTTTCTTTAAACAGAAAATAATAAAATAATACTAAATCTGGATCCAAAGCTCCATCAAATGTCAAGAGTAAAATATATATCGAGCAAGAAAAAAAATATTAGTAATTAAAAAATAACAATAAATATTAACAATTAATAAAAAGTAATTAAATTTGGAGCGAAACAGCCGAGAAATCTATCTCGGATTCCTATTTAAGGTGTAACCGCAGGTACTATTACTTTAACGCGCAACCTTGCTCTTCCTCGTTTTTCTCGCTGCGATGAAAGATAATTAAGCAAGCTCTCCCATGTGTATGTATATACACGCACGTGTCACTATTTCCGGCCACTTCCGCGAACGCGTTATTCTCGGTTATATACGCTTTGTGCGGTACTTTCTGCCAAATGGGTCGGCAGGCTATTTACCTCGATACTTCATCGGGGACGAGAATTTATTAATAGAAGTCGCAAACCGTGCCTTACCATCCGCAAAACTTTGTTTTATCTTTTTTTATAATGTTTCTTTCATGATAAATTTGTACGAGTAAAGTATAGTTTGCCAGCATTTAATGGAGACACTTTCTGAAAAATTACAATAAATTTTCAACAAGAAATAACGATTAAGTTTGAGAAAACAGCTAATCGTGCCTCGCAGTTTTTGAATTTTTAATTATAGAATTGCGGCCTCAAAAATGCTCCACCATATATTTATTAAAAAAAATCTGGCTAAAGCTACAAGCAAAATGAATATTGAAAAAATCTAGCTAAAGCTATGAACAAAATGGATATTTTTATATTTAAATATATTTTGTCATGCTATAGTTCGTGATACGTTTCGAAAAAAATTTCAAGAAATTGTTGAATTTCGAGAAATATAGAAATATATAAATTCAATTAAATTTAAATTAATCAAAAATTAACAGAGAATATTATTAATAAGATGCACGATGTAAACCGGAGAAAGATGCAAAATGTTTAATTATTTCGATCGCTCGAAGGTCGATAAAACGATTTGCTAATTAATAACATTGCTAATTAAAAACATTTCTGATTTCAGGTGGATCCGTCAGGGGGGAGGTTGACTCCGGTTCGAACGAACTCACACCTGGCAGACGGGCAGGCAGTGGTGGCGGTGGTGGCAGCGTCGGCAGTGGCGTCTTGGGGGTCGGCGGTGCCGGGGGTGGCTCGGGGAGCCGGGGCTCCTCCGGTGGTGGCCGCTCGAGGGACGAGCCTAGAAGGCACACCCTCGGCGGCGATCATCAACCGTCCCTTCATCATCAGCAATTCAACGCGGCGCAGCAACTGCACCCCCTACACCCGCATCATTTGCCGCCACCACACGGCCAATACGGCACCCCGCCATCACGGCACACCACCATGGATCTCGAGGTGAATCTTTACTCGCGCAACATGTAAATACCCATATATTTCATTGTTTGCGATGGTCTTTCGTAATCTCGATTTGTTTCCTTCCTCCTATCCTTCGACATTTATTCTATGAATGTAGAATCTCGATCAATTTGTGCCATAATTAGATATTACGTAACTATATTAATTATTTTGAATGATTTAAATGAGAATCAATAATAAATTAATTATATACTTAATTTACTTAATTATATACCTAATGGATATTTAAAATAATTAAATGAATGCTAAAAATAATTGAATTTATAATAATAATTAAATGTAAAATTATTATCAGCTATTAATCGGTACATAATTTCTTTCATTATTATTAATTCAATTTATCACATTAATATATTATTTTATTGGTACTAATAAAAACAATTATATAAGTATGCGCGTGCAGCATAATTTATAATTTATAAACTATTTTAATTAAATAATTCTATATTTTCTTGTGTTATCTTTTGCACGATATTCACAATTCGAATCTTTAATTGCCTAAAATAGTGCCAGTTCTCTTCAATTCAAAGTATCGAGATTTTACTGTATCTCCTAAATTGTGACAGACTCTAAATACTTAACTTCCTTTTTCTTCGATTGTGGTATGTATTTTTCTTTTGTGTGATTTCTATACTAGACTTTTAAGCTTTCTGTTTCCATATTTTTTGAGAATTTTATCTCTCTACATTTATCATGTTTACTTCATTTCTACTTGTTTATTTGTTTCTAATATAAGTAAAAAAAGTTTTATCTTTACAATTTCTATATTTATCTACATGTCAAAATTTTCATAAACAAAATTTATCTCCTTCTTTTTATATTTAATATTGGGGATATTTGGAATTTTTGATGAATAACTGAACATTTTCTTTATCGCAATATGATGGTTTAATATCGTATATGATTCGATGGATAAATGAATAATTGATGGATACGTAATATTCAAGCTCTTTTTTCACAGTTTTCTATAAAATCAAAAAAGAAAAGAAAAAAATTTCAAATTTATCTTTTAGGAAATATTAAAAATTGTTGTCTTACAATTCACATTTACATAAATTACTCATTATCATGACATCAAGTATTACTATCGTGCATTTTATGATTTAATTTAATTTTATTATAATATATATAAAATAAATTAGAAAAAAACTAGAAATGGCATTTTATTGCCACATATCTCTATTTTCCCTTCATATTTCCAACAATTTACACGATAAATGATATTCGTGATAAGTGTTAAACTTTAAATTCGCTTGCTTTTCCCAATGGCATTGTAATATAAAATATGCAACCGATTGTGCTATAATAATTAATATTATTTTAGAACAATGAACATTTCAAAATCACATCGAGGATTAAAATCCACCTATTATTCTTTTTAATCTTTTATGAAATAAAATAATATTACCTAAAAAATTTATTATTTGTAAATATAAAATTCATATTATATTTTTGTAGTCAACTTTAATTATTCTGATAAAAAATGAATTATAACGTTGAACAAGACAATAGAAAATGTTCTGTTATTCAATTTTATATGCAGTGATGCGTTTGGTTTGCAACTATTTTCGCATTTAAGAGTGGAGAACAGAATAACATTTCGAAATAAAAATGTATACGCATTTTCATTTCGAAAATATTTTATTCAAAAACTGGTATCGATTAACTATTTGTTTTAATATATAAATACCTACATGTAATTGTTTACTCTTCAACTGAAAATTCTCTTCTCCCACAAGTCATCTCTTTTTCCTTTAAAAAAAAAAAATAAGTAAAATTTTGTTTAACTTGGAAATATATATTTATCTTATGATTTATATAACATGCTATAACCAGCATAAATTTAAAAAATGTATTAATTAAAATAACAATAATTTACATAATTGAAATTTTCATAATTGATGACTACGGGAGCTTATGTATATATGTATATAAATTATCGCAAAGCTTTCACGAAATATGTCATGCATCCCGATGCTGTTAAATTTGATAATAGATAAAAGATTCATTTGCGTATCGCAACACATTGCCTATTATATTAATTATCAGAGAATATTGTTAATCAAATATAATCCGTACATGCGACGTATAATATGACAATATTATTATACCGTGTTATTAATATTTAGCATATAAAGTTTGCCTACGCAATAAGTTCACAGATTAAAAAAAGAGCATTTATATCTATTGAATTATCGAGCGAAGAATCTATTTCAGGCGGTTATCATTTTACGCGATCGATTTTTTAAATTTTCTGAACCTATCGCATTTACCGGAGAGAGATGATGAATACGGTATTATTGAAATACTTTTCCGGAGCTTTAACGTATAGTATGCGGTCAAGAACCGCCGTAATGAGGGAAGCAGTTAATTAATTATCATCCACTTGCACATCTTCATTTCTTGCGTTCATTCCCGATAATTGAAATTTCCGCGACATACCGAACCGAAACGATAGTCTCTTGACATTTCTCAGATTTCTATCTATTTTAATTATCTAGATGTTCAAGCTTTTAAAAGTTGCTGATAGTTATGTAAACTTTTTATATATTTCATCTTTAAAATGTCCAAATATCATAGACATCTAATATAAATATATTCCATATATTTCCATATATTTTTTTTGTGTAAATAAAATTTAAGAAAATAAATTAAAAAGACATAATTTTTATATAAGTATATATGATCTATTAACAATATTTAAAAAAAAAATATATATATATATATATTTTAAATATTTATATATATATATATTTTTTTTTTAAATATTGTTAGTAGATTATATATTTATATATATATATATATATATATATATATATATAATAAATATATATTAAAAAAACTTCTATATTTAAAATAAATAATTATATTTTGTTCATTGGAGAGATTATCGGTATATCTAATATCTTTTTAAATCCAGATAAATTTAATTTAATATTCTTTCAAATCAAATCTAAAGCCTCGTCTACAATGAATCGCAAGTCGCAAGTTCGTAAGTAAATTGACCAACTACAATTGATTATTCTGATAAATAAGAGATAGTGATTGGTCCATTTGCTTACGACTTGCGATCCATCGATTGTAAACGAGTTTTAATACTTTTTTTAAATATAGACATTTTCTTACTTAATTTAGTCAAAAAAATAAATTCATAATCGTTACAGTTTGTTTCATTATTGGCCTGATACTCACTTATGACTTTAAATTTACAGAAAAATATATTTTTTTCACACACTGACGATATTGGTCAAATTAAATATGAAATTTCGGAAATTTATAACAGTTGGCTCGAGAAACACACTATGTCGAGTCTCATGCATATTTTCGTGCAAGTAAACTTTGTAAATGTACTCACCATTTATTCTAATCGCAGATGTATTATCCTCGAGCGTCATTGATTGCAGTTGCCCACTAAACTTTGCGCTCCAAAGATCCAAAGATCGTGGGATTCGTGTCAGATGAATGTCGTACGATCGATTAGCTCTCGACGTGCGGTTATGGAGCATCCTCGGGCTTGTCTTTGTGGTTCGTAGGAAATAATCGAATCGGGCGCGCACAGCTGGTGCACATTCGAGATAACGAGCGTTCGCCGATTCTGCTCTATTAAAGCTCGTATTCATCGTGACACGACGCGAAAAATAGAATTGTATTCCCGATCGCGAAATTACGTCGCTCGAAATAATTACACCACACGCGCCACCGCGGCTCGAAAGGTACTGACTCGTGACGCATCACTTTTTTTGCGCGCATTCTTGTTCGAACTTTTTTCGCCGCGCGAAATACAAACAGAGCGACTGTGTATAGGACTATATATAAGTGTATAAATAATTTTGTAAAAAATGAATCAAATGTATCTCCAAGAATTTAAAAAAGATTAAGAATAGTATTTTTTTTTCATAAACCTTTATGTATATTTGAAAGCGTATATGAAAAACTGAATTAAAAAGTATATATAAAATAACAATTATAGCTATCAATATCATTGACCAAAATATTAATGTTAAATTTTACACAAATTTTAATAAATGTTTTTACTAACGAAAGACAAAACTATGATAAATTATATATTTTCTTCCAATATCATACAATACAATTGAGAAAATTTCTTTATGAAAAAGATATATATATATAAATATAAATTATATATATAAAATATAATAAATAAATATATATAAATATATAATAAATATAAATTATATATACAAATATAAATATATAAATATATATACATATATAAATTGTTATTCATGAAAAAGAGAGAGAGATTTCTTGCTATTAATTGATCAATGACAACGCGAGATGGCGGAATTCAAGCCGTGGGATGGCGCTTCGCGTTCTAGTTTTTTTATGGAGTTTATGGCATAAGAAGTATACGAGGGCGCGCAGTTATTTGTGACGTCAAAACGCTTGTGTTACGGATAGTCGTGCGGAATATCGAAGAGACGAAATCAATCGATAGCTATGGTCACAATTATACTTTACGGTATGTATTTCACAAGTTACGATTATAAGAATTACATGTATTATATCGTCTGAATTTTAAATTACAGAGAAACTAAATATCACTTGCGATTAATCGTAAAGTATCGAGGAAAATGGCGGCGGAGGGAAGGCGGGGGAGATCGTCTCGCGTAGATATATCAGCGAATATATTTCACGTATTATGTTCGTAGATATATGTGCATAAAACCGCGGAATTTTTCGGCGCGTAACGCTCTTTCTTTTCCGCTCTGTCGCTTTGTTTACATTCGCGCGGCGAGGCTGGAGCAAGAATGCGGGCAAAAAACGGCGCGAGCGCTACGTCACGAGCGCCTACGTCACGAGTCAGTACTTTCCAAACCGCGGTCGCGAGTGGTGGGAGTAACGCTAAGCGCAATCGTTATCAATTTCTACAATTACTAGTGCGTGCGATTAATTGTTTCCCTCGCTTATCATTCGATCTTAAATTGCCGTAAATTCTGTTCGCGTAATATTAACGGGAAATGTGTGTACGATTAAAAATATGAATGGAAAATATCCGATTATTTATTCAAATTTACTTTTTCCAATACAATTATTATTAATTACTTTTACATGTAATATTTTTTACTAAAGTAGAGCAATATTAAACGCTTCTCGTGCATTTAAATATATATTATAATCTAAATGTATTAAATTTGTAAATATCATATATTATATGTTATTTACATATATTATATTTATTGGTTATATATTACATTTAGTCATACATTTGCTAATTAAAGTTCCGAATGAAAATACACACGATCGATAAAAGACTTTATATCTCTATATATATATATTATACTTCTTTCTAATTCTTTTTAAATTATCACGTCGTTTCCACAAATTGTAAAAAAGAGAATAATGATATTCCAAGATATGAGAGTAATTATAAAATGTATAATATTTTGTTGGAAATATTGCGTTATCGTGAAAGCTTCTACAATTTGAAGAAAAAGCAAAGAAAGAAAGAAAGAGAGAGAAAATGAAAGAAAAACGTTCATCTCATTTTCATTCAACTAGCAGAAAGTTGACGTTTATGTTGTTTTGTGGCTATAATTACGCTTGATTATATGATTGATCTGTCAATTAAGAACAGTTTGATCCTCAGAATGATATGGTATTTCTCTCTCTCCTCCCTCTCTCTTTCTTTTTCTCTTTGTTCGAAACAATCGTTTTTCCATTCATCTTTTTTTCTAATCCCTTTCTATTCCGCGACACATATTACACATCTCTAACTAGTTTTTACTTTGTGTGTGTGTTCCCGTGTGTTCCCGCCGTGTGCCACTGACAGATGGGGACCAAGTCTCGCCAGAGAAAGGTAATTTTCGAATTTTCATACTTTTTACATAAGATTGCCTGTGCAATCAATTTCTTTTTTTCCGTCAACATGCATGTCGGCATGCTGACATGATCGTTTTTCTCTGAGTGGCATTTAATTCTCGATTCTACCATGTGTCTTTAATTGTTCGCTTGGAAAATGTTTCTGTGAATACGTTTACAGTAGCAGGTAATATTAAAATTCCGAATAATATAACAGAGTTACTCATTGAGATAAGTTGCGTCGAGCATACGACGAGATTTTTTTAAATTTAATTTATAAGCAGAAGCTTTTATTTTGATACAATTTAATTAAATGCTGCAGTTATAGTTTGCTACAATAATTTAATTAAATGCTGCAGTTATAGTTTGCTACAATAATTTTCTGCTGTATAAAGTCGTAATAACAAAATATTATAAAACATGCATTAAATTTATTATATTGTTATTATATTTGTTGTGCTAGTTTTTATTATTGTTAACACGTATAAAACACGTATTAAATTTATATTTATCTAATTCATTTAAACATTTATCAATTATATAATTATTGATTTGTATATAGTTAAATATATAGTTAAAATCTTAATAAATATAAATAATGATAAATTTGTATTATAATTTATCCATATATAATTAGATATATACGGACTTGCTATTTTTAAACATCTGAAATAAATAATTTAATTTTTTTTTATAAATGCCACTAATGAGCAATTCGTCATATACTCTCGGATGGCCCATAATTTGCATGAAGTCTTATCAAATTTATATGCTTTTAGTCGCCTCTTCCGCGCGGGTATCCGCCCCCATCTTCGACGATGCTCTTCGATGACGACCCGGGCATTATGTCCGAGGTGGAAACCTCTAGCACAGGATTTCGACGAGGTGGCAAGCAAAGGAGCAGCTTGCCTGTTGTACGAACGCCCAGCAAGACTTTGGAGCGACCACTAGGTAATACACAAAGCATAATTAAATGCAAATAAATATAGACGAAAACGATAATAATGAATCAATACTGATTCACTAAAAGTTATATTATTATACATTTCTTAATACGTGTAAAGTCTTACTGGAAAAATTGAGCAAAAGATATCAATGTTTTAATAAAATTAATAAGTGATAAAAAAACAGTTTCTTTTTCTGTAGCATAAATTTATTTTTAATTAAGTAAAGTGTTAACTAAAATGTGTAATTACGATAGTTTTATCAGATAGTTGCTCTTTTTGTGCATTTATATTAATAGTTTTAAAATATTTTACGTATTGTTGAATTTTTATTGCGATTTTGCTGACAAAACAATGCATTTCTGTATGCGGTTCCCTAGGACTGGTGTTCCTACAGTACAGGAACGAGACGAAGAGGGCATTGCTACCGAACGAGATCACCAGTATAGACACGGTCAAGGCCCTTTTTGTTAGAAGCTTTCCAAAACAACTCACTATGGAATACCTAGACAGTCCCCACGTAAAGGTTTATATACACGACAGCAACAAGGATATGTTCTACGAACTCGAAGATCTAAGGTACAATATTCTTCTGCGATTATAAATATCTTTCTTTTTATTTTAATAATCCAATATTTTATTTTAAATAAAATATTTTATTATTATATTATTCTTTCTTGCTTGTTTTTGTACAATAATTAAAAATTTTAAATATTTAATTATATGATAAAATTAAATAATTATTCGATATTCTAAAGACATCATAATTCAAATTAATTTAATTTTTTTTATAATAACAAAAATTGATAAATAATAATTATTTATATAATGAATAATTATTTTAAAAACAACTAATTTCAATAAAGGATTTTTATTGCAACGTAATATAAATGATTCTAATTGTTTTGATTTTTAGATCGCATCTGAGAGACATCAGGGATCGCAGCGTTTTGAGACTTTTCGAGAGCGCCGACGGAGTGACAGGAATGCCGGGACCCTTGGGAGTACCAGGAGGTGGCGGCGGTTTACCGCCCCATTGGGAAGATCAGAGCTACTTCAGCGAACCAGAATTCGACAGCGAATATCAGCATCAGCACATTCACAAGAGCAAGGTAAGTGCACGTTTATGAGGTTTCGTCTTTAATCTATCGCTTGCACATTCTCTTTTCTTGGAGAAGAAATGGTAAGACGTTTTTACTTGACAGAGTGTGCTATTACGTAATATTGCATTTGAAAAATACTTATTTTTTCATCGTGTGAATCCCTGAGCATTCGGCAAATGTCTTAAAAAATTTTTGAATATTCAAAATTAATATAAATATAAAATATATATGTAATAAAATTATAAAATAGAGACGAAATCTCAGAATAACAATAATAACTATATTAATATCGTACAGTATGCGAGATACGATCAAACAAAAATTTCCAAATGTTAAGAAATATATCGTCTTATGTTAAAAAATTGACTCATAAAGATGAATCAAATGGAACATAATACAACGATTCATAAAATTTTATTCGACACACACACGTGCAAAACATCCATAAGGCTATAAGTCTTGAGCTTAAACCAAGACGTCGCCGATCGATCAAGACGGTTTCCGTCATGCAATTAAATTCTCCTTTGTCATCCGAGGTCAATCGATCAACACGCACTTTAAACCGCAATGAGTATTATGTTAAAAACAATTTTTATTATTCATGATCTCTTTTCCAAACTCATAAGCTAATATTTATTCTATTTACGCCGAATATGTATACATTCATAATATAATTTTTTTAAATTAAATTCTATATATATTTTTATATATATATATTTTTACATGAATTATCTTATTTCATTAGAGAAGTTTTTGGTCACATGTAATAGTATTAGCAAAAATTTTAGTCATTTTTTAATTAGTCTTAAAAATTTGAAATTATTTTACTTTATATTACATTATTGCATATATTTAAATAATGCAAAAAATTCTTAACTTTTTCAGTGTAATATAGTTATTATAAATTATTTATTAACATATTTCTCCTTATATTTAATAAAGATTGTACAATACTTTTACAATTGATCCAAAATTCATCATAATACTTGTGAAATCTTTATACTGTTAGTTTTAAACATATATAGTTAATTGAAATAGAATGATAGAAATTGCAAATAAATATTGGCAAGATATATTGTCACGCACAAGTTTTTTCATGGCAATGTTCTCGGCATTTTGAAATGTTTGCAAATGCCAATGAACATAATATAATATAGAAAAAAATAACGATACATTATCAAAGAATGATATATATACGTGAAAATAAAAAATTAATGAACAATGAAAAAATCAGAAGACTCGGGGGACAAATATCTTTGCCCGTAACGACTAAAGATACTCGGCAATCTAAACATGGCGTGGGATACCTGGGAATGTTTCGTCGTCCTTCATCGACCGTTTAACAAAGCGCTATCGTTATCAGCGCAGTCTTTCGCGGACGCTCCCCTGAGAATTCACGCGAAACGTTCTAAAATGTCATTTTGCGCACTTATCATCGATGAAGAGGTTTAGAAGACTTTACACGCAGGTACGGCTGGCATGTAAAACGCTCCGGAATAAAGCTTCTTGGGCACCGTTCTCCAACCTATGACCAACGCTTTCGCGAATGGTTCCTCGGCGCAGCCGTCGCAAATGTCCATCACTTGTCTGACCTCGCCTTCAGCGGGTTCGCGTTCGTCCTCTTCGTCCGTATCCTTTGTCAATTGCAGCCCGAAACTTGTTAATCCCGTGAAGTAGTCGTTGTCCAGACCCTGAGGAATAGAGTATCCGTCGTCGAAGATTGATCCGTCGCTCAGCTGCAACAATCCTCGCTTCTTCTTCTTCTCGATTTCGCGTTTTCTTAGTTTCTTATCATCCGCGACTTCTAACTTTGGCACGAAGGATACCTGAAAGTCCGAAGAACGAAATGTTAGGTACTATCGATTGAGTAAATAGGAGAATTTGAAGCATGCATATATATATATATTTTTGTACATCGACAATAGAATTCGAATTTCTATCTCTCTTAAAGCGATTTCTTTGAAGAAATGTTAATCGGATTCTTTTATAGAAGTGAAGATTTCTTTGGAGAAATGTTAATTGGATTCTTTTATAGAAAACGAGAAGATAGAATAAAACGTATAAATAACATAAAAAATATAAACTTATTAAATAAATGATTTTTATTAACATAATACAAATTTTCGAATTATGAAAGTTTATTTTATAAAAATATAAAAGTTATTAAATGCAGCAGATTTCTTTCGAGACGGTATAATAAAAAAATCTCATGATTTTCGTGCAAGTAAGTCGAATGCATTCACTTGAATGATGTTAAATTATTTCCACTCTAATTCACTGTAATCTTTTAATTTCCTACGTCAAGTAGGTCGGAAACTAAAGAAATTTACAATTTAATGCTTGCTGAAGAAAATTCTTGTTGTTGGGTATTTTTACGAACGAATACAGACAAAATTTAAACTACTAATACCTTCCAGTTAAAATAAAGAATATACCGTGAAATAAGATTACTTTTTGAAAACACAAAATATATATAAATGAAACGTAATAAATACAATGTTAGAAATTGGAGAGAATGTCTTATTAAAACGGTTTCTGTCTTAAATTGGTACGTGAAAAATTAATTTCGACTTAATTGTGCTTACCTTGGCACCGGAACTATCAGCTTCCCAAGTTTTATCGGTATCCCTTTTTGCAATCGATTTCTTCGGTTCGGTCAAACTCGATATTACCGTTTCGTCCTTAATGTTTCTCTTCTTCGAGTCGTTCCTCTCTCTCTTGAAGAGATTACGATAGGGTCCGTCTGCAAAGATCGGTGACTGTGACGGATTAATGAATTGTGTCGGTGAGGGAGGGAAGGCTGTCGAGAAAACATCGAGATTCAAGGGCGGAAGCGGCTGCGGGGGCGATTCCGGTGCCGGTGGTAATGCTGGATGACGAATGGTTAGGCCGTTTTGTACGATCTGAATCGACGCTCCTGGATTGATCTTTACCTGGAACGTTTGTTCGCACGCATGAAATATTCATGCTTAATCGAGCGTAGCGACACGTAGGGGGAAATTGAAAGGCGGTTCAAATAACACGTGTGACGTTTAAAAAGCGTCGCAAAGCGTCTGAGCAGAGAGAAATTATTAAAGCTCCAAGAAACGTTTCAAAGACGTCCTACGAAACATCCTAATTTTTCACACGTTTCATAGACGCGCCTTTCAGACGCCTCCGTGTTGTTTACGGTGACGCTAATTAAACGGAGCAAAGTAATTAGCTTAATGATACGGCACACGCGCCCCCTCGGATGTAACAAAGTGAGAGAACGTAATTGTACTTGTGTATTGATTTGTCCTCCGGTGAGGAAGGGATGCGGTGGCAAAGGTGGTCCGGTTACAGGTGCTTGCGTGGTAGTTCTCGGAGTGTTATTACTCGTATCATGTTCGTAATGATGGGCGTGATGGTGCTTGTGATCCTTGTGCGCTTTTCCCGCGGTCAGAGCTACATTATAGAGCTGTACCATTGTCAGTTCTCCCAAGTAACCGCCGGAACCTGGGAAACAATATTTTTCATTATCATCTTACGGCATGCTATAATATTTCTTGAAACAATGAGTTTTCGTCTTACATACTTCAATTGCAAATAAATTATATACATTTCAAAGTTTATCTTTAATGGCATAAATGAAATTTTTCGTAAAATATATATATATATATATATATATATATATATATATATATTTTTAATTATATATATATTAAATGAAATTATATTTACGTATGTAAAAATATATCGAAAACACTTATTTCACTAATTAGAAGAATGTCAAATACATATAAAGGAAACTCAATAATATATTTAAATATATTCAAATAATAATAATAATAAATTTTAATAAACACAGTCAAATTCGAAAATTAAAAAAAAATACAACACGCTTAGAAATACACGCATAAAAAAACCTATTTAAACATGACATATATTGATAATTGGCTCGTTAAGAAACGGTAACATTTGTGTTTTAAAATTAACGATCTAATGTAAAAATATTCTTACCCGGTGGCGCGCCTTCACCCTCTAAAAAACCACCGCCCAGTTGTCGTTGCTCTTGTCCGGAAATGGCAATTCCGCCGCCTTTGATAACATGCCCAACCAGCTGGAATAAGCACGGCAATGCAATTTTTTTCGCATAACGGATGAAACAAAAAGACGAAGATAGTAAAGAGTATTTTCCGATAATCGCCTTTTTGCTTATTGGACTAACAAGCGACACGTGCAATTAATCTGAAAATACAGTTTGACCTAACACTGATTTAATCGATTGCTCGAGAAAAAACGCGAATACGATATTAGCGATATAAACTATACTGACGTAAATAGAATATATAAAAGCCTCGGATTTTACGTTCTCTATGCGCGGATAGATTGCACGTCCGCAGTCACGCACGCCGCTCTATATGAAAATTTAAATTGCTTTCTGTGCTTTTTTTTATTTGAAAGTAACCTTGGTATCCTCGGACGAGAATATCGCGATATATGGAATTGTATACTTTTCCATTTCCCGTTTATTCTATTTCGTCCATTCTTTCGCCATTTCGTTTGTGTTGGACGCAATCTGAATACAAGAGGCCACCGTCTTGACAGCTCCTACGGAGCTGAACGGACGGGGAATTATCTTCTTGATTGCAAATCGCGTATTTAAAATTGCCGACAGTCGTAATTATGCTTGGTAATTGGTATAACTTTATTTGTCTAATATTATATTGATATTAAGATTACTATCTTCTTCAATGTATAATTATATTTGTTATTTTTCTTAATTATTATAATACATGTCATAAAAGATATCGTAATTACTTATCGCGATATATACGTGTTTATAAAATATATTCGACTAAATTTCTAGATAAATTAATAGATAATAAATGAATGGAATTTCTCTCTACAAAAAAAGCATCTCAAATATAAATATATTTTTCACGACACGTTGCATCTCTATAAATGTATTATATTGTACAGTTGGATGAGCAACTATGCAAGTGTCGTCCAAGCAAAAAACACACATTAAGTACAAAACCGCGATGACAGTGCACTCGACTTTCGCGTGGGAAAGGCACAGTTAAATGCGACACATTCGCGAACGTGACTCGTATACAGAAAATGCCGGAAGCACGCCCGTTTAAGAAATTCCTGACGCGTTTAACATAAACGATAATTGAGAGAATTGTAATGTGGGATCCTTACGCAACTATGAGGTACTCTTATACGAAACAAGCATGCCTTCTCATGCCATAAATGTTTTTCTTCTACTTCTCTAGTACCTACGCATTTCACGCCAGACATTTGCGGAATGATAATCAATTATATCGCGATATATGAAATTGCACGATAAACGTAGCGTTCCTTTGTTGTTTTGCAAGAATTTAATTACAACTACAGATATTTTTACTTATATAGAATTTCAAATTTTTGAATTATTGCACATAACTTGTGAGAGAAATAGCGCATATTTTTTATGAAAATATTTTCTGTAATTTATTTGTGTGCGTCTAAAAAAATATGTCATGTATCCCGATATCCCGCGGGATTTTCTTGCGTGAGTTTTATATAATTTTATGTAAAATTATTTTTTTACTTGCACGTCACGTATTATATAAAATACGAATTTATCCATTAGTTATTTCGGAAGATAAAGTTTACCTCGAAATTTCAGCGCGGGAAAAAATTTCTGTAATATAAATACTTTAGCAGAAATAATACTGAATACCACAATATAATAGATTTTTTATAATAGATTTTTTATTTCAGCGAATCAATGTGTTTTGACGCATTTATAACATATTTTCATTACTCATCATTTTAAGTTTATTTTAAAATTGAATTATTTTTCTAATTTTTTAAAATTTATTTGCATCACATAAAAATTCAAAAAAATAGATAAAATCGGAAAATTCATTTATAGCTAGAAGATTAATTAATTAATTCGAAATTAATAGCTAGTAAATTTTTTGCATCGTAGTAGTAGAGCCACGTGTACGGTCGGACGCACTTTCCGTTCAAGAATAATAACCGTTTGTAGCGGATATTTAAAAATGTATTTTGCAACCGTTAATTATTTCCACATTAATATATTCATTTCATGCGTAATAAAGTTTGAAATTTGAGCGCCGTTGACATTCGCATTATGTGAGTTCACTGTATGCTATAATTAACGCACTATAATGATTATAAATATATTGCGCGTTCTGATATACACCTTTTTTAAAAGCTGATAATAATTATATTTATTATATGCATTTGTAATATTTTAGAAGAAAATAATAATAAAGTGATGAATAATAATAATATAACGAGAGATTTAATATTTAGAAACATAATATTACAGAATAAATGAATTTATTTTATTAATATTATTTATTATTAAGCTTTTTTGTGGAGCGTGTTTATTAAGTAAAATGTTTATTATTTTTTTAATGATTATAACAATCGCGCTATAATTCATCAAGTTTGCATTGCTCTTTATAATAAGTGCTAATAATTAATTATCCTGCTTCTCGAAAATTTTATGATTATTTTAAAATCATTTATTTTTCTTATATTTTTCTTATATTTACTCATTCATGCAAAAAATTGATAAAATGACATTTTATACGTATTTTAATTAAGGTCAAATAAATGTTAACATCCCTAGAGAGTCACAAATAGAAGAATGATTTTAGCTTCGGAAAAATGACAAAACACGAGGGAGCGATTAACGGCACGATAATAAAACTTGATTCAAACACTCAAACTTGAGAAACATTCGTTACTATTTTTTTTAATATCAAGGACAATGCGTCAAGACTTATTGTACAGGAAATGCAATGTAAGAAATCGACGCATTTTTTACATACTATATCGTGATTTCATCAAATTGATCAATTGATGATATCTTTTTATTAAGATAGTTAAATGTCAAAATTTGAAAAATTAAATTGTTCACTTTTCGCCAATTCCGGAATTCTTTATACGTCTATTTATCTAAGAACATGCAGAGTGTAGGGTCAAAGGCAATATAAAGTCGTGCTTACCCTGTTGTTGAACCCGCGACCTACGCGCTCGTCGTTGACCCAGATCTGCCATTCCCCGGTACGACCGTTCCAGCTCTGGCAGGAGTGGTACCACTTGTTAAGTCTCAACGGATAATTCAATCTGTACAAGTTGTGACCGTTGACGTTGAGCATGTAGTACGAACTTCTCGGTGTGTTTGCGACCCACGACAGTATTCCTCGTGGTTGATCACCAACTGGAAAGAGCCGAGGGTGAAAATTAACTCGTATGCAAAAGAGAAAGAGAAAAGAGACGGAGAATTCTCGTGTATATAAGCAGAATAGATGTAACATCTTCATTACATGATAACTGAAATTATTAATAAAATTTGCGATGCAAATTCTGACAGTTTCTCAGATGCAGAGTTTACATTTCGTATTTTCGGATGCTTTCGCGCTGAAGCAGTCGAATGAAGAGATACTAGAATTATTGTTTGCACTCGTATATTTTGTACATTGTTGAACAAATTAAAAGTTAATATTAGATTGTTTTCCTTATTCACTGTTTTAAAGTCATTTTTATTTAATTCCAATATTAATCATTTTTCCGATACTCTCTCTCTTGACGAGTAACAATTTATTACGCACAATTATTTTTTATTACAACTTTTTTATAAATTTTTTATAATCAACGCTTCCAGAATTATGTTGTTATATTATATTATACAAATTGTTGTTATATTATACAAATTTAAAGAGTCGCGTCCGTAATTTTTAATTGGATATTTTATAAAATTCATCCATATTCTATTTTATCAAATTGTAATACAAATCGATTTCTTAGTTATGCAAGATTTTTATTGCAAATAAATTTAATTATTATTACACTTTCTTTTCTATAAAAGATTGGTAATAAAAAAAATTACTTATAAAGTTTTTATGAGATATATTGAAAAAGAAGACTTTTATATATTTTTATATATGTATTTGTATAAAATACACTTGTAGTATACCTATTGATTCTGGAAGTCGAGAGACGTTTTTTTTTAGACACAAGCGAAGGGAGAGACTTATTGTTGGTGTATTTATGACACCGCGCATATCCGCCTATTGTCACGTTCGCCCGCGTCTACGGAAAAAAGAAAGAAAAGAACAATCCGTTTGTCTGTATGTGTGTGCGCAACTTTCTATAACGGTACAAAAACTGCAAACCGCGTGGAACCTTTCTAAACTGCATATTGAAAACATTGCCGGATGACATCATTGTTCCTGCGTGAATAATAATGCGGGCGTAAATCGATTCTTAACGCGATATGAGGGATGTCAGTGTGAAAGATGCATGACTGTTACTTATGAAACTAAATTACTAATCTGCAAGAAGGAGGAATGTTGTGTGGGAATCGATTATGCAATGAAACTGAATAAGATTGTTATACCGTGTCTCCCTAGTATACAATCATATTGTTGCAACGATGTTTGCTATATCGTTAATCATAGAGTGTACGAATTTAATAAGAACATTTTAATGAAATTCTATTTCGCACTCATCATATATAAAAAAATTACGTTATCGAATTAAAAACATTATTGTACGTCGCTCTAATGGATTACAATGAATATATAAAACTGCAAGTATAATTAAATTTAAATATTGTAAAAATAAAATTTAATAATTAGTTAATTTAATAATAAAATTTAATAATTATTCAAAATAAAATTGATATTATGAATATTTATACATGTACATATATGAACTACTTTATATCAAACTTTCTAACGTATAAATTTTAATTATACAACCTCTACGAACAGAAAATATTATTTGCAGTAATTTTGATATTTAATATTTTAACATAGTCAGTCCATTTAAAAACAAATTGCAACGTGCTTGTCTTTTCGGGTGCGTATGTGATATATAAATATCATGGGTCACATCACGTCGTATATTCATTTTTGCAAATGCTGACAATTGAATTCACCTAACCGTTTATTTGCACGTTTGCTTATCCGCAATTTCCGCTATGTTAGTAAACAATATATCAATTACTGAGAAACTAGGTCAACGGCAAATTAACCCGCGGCGTGAAATTCGTTAATCAAACGTGCAGTTCGCACTGCAATTTAAGACCGCAGGTTTATACGATGCTTTTACAGCGGTAACGAGTTGCCAGTGTAAAAAGAAATTGTTTATCTTCCTGCTTTATGTTTATCACTCTCTAATTATAGATAAATGAGATATTACGTATTTAAACGATTACGTTAGAAACTGGTTATTATCTTCCTTACGTAGTTCAAGGTGTGTTTTCAAGGCCTTTTACATTGAAAAAAAGCTATGCCAGAAATTTCTATGCATGCCAAAAAATATTTGTTTGTTTGTTTAAGTAAATCTGATTTTAATAGAAACTAAAATATTAAATTTAGATGTAATCAAATTGCAATCTTTTATTATTTTTATCCTCTTGTATCACCGATAAAGATACGATCAATTTGTAATCGTATTTTTAACGCTGTTAGACGATATCATAAAACTTTGGACGATAAATGCGGCAGACTTTCGCTTTCACATCCGATACATTTCACAATAAGATACATGGTGAAAGGAGAAAGAAATTAATTTCGGCGCTCACTCACCTGCGTAAGAGAACAAAGGATGGTCGTTGGAGTGATTGTGAAATTTCGTCCACATGCAAAGGGTGAATTCCTTCATGTTGGGTAAATCTGTCTTGTAATGGATGTACTGTAACAGAATGAGAGGTAGATCGTTAGATCATGTCGGCGAATGCTCGGATGACATTAATTTCGTGCCTATCGCGATTAAAATTGTCAATTCTGCCGGTATACACAGCGAAGATTAATGCGCTCCGTGCGATTTAATCACCGGATACGCACTTCCGCGTATCACATTGGGTCTTACGTTATTAATCATCGACATCGATCCCGATGCGATATGATCTGATATGATCTCTCCGTGAAATGCATGTTAAAGTAAAGCTGATCTGTGCGAGTAAACGTTGCCTCAGACGCGATCGAACGGATGCAATCAAGTAATCGCAGAATGCGAGGCAACAACTGTTGTTTAATATGGATAATTAGAATTTGATAGACACACGAATTTACATCTTCTAATCTAATAAATGATCTGTCAAATAATATTGCCAAATCGAATGGAGAAGTGAGGAAATAATACGAAAATATATAGAAAAATGTTTTTATTGCCACAAGAGAGAGAACGTAATTTTATAAATATATATATTTTTTTAAATTTGTGACAGGAAATTGCAACAATTATTGTATTAAATTATCGACTATTGACATATACATGATATATATCCATTTAATTGAACTTATGTATTAACATTATTCTGATTTTAGAACATGCACCAAATATAGTAATGAACAGTGCATACATTTGATGCTTTAGAGAATGATATTGTCTCCTGTGGAATCATGATATGTATACTAACAGACAGATTGTGTTTATTGTGTTTATCGTGCTTATTGTATTGCTATTCGAAATATTAATGTCTCTCAATATGAAATATTAATATAACAAGCGAATTATGGAAAATAATTATGGAAGATAAAAAATATGGAAGATATAAATATGGAAGATATAAAATATAAAAATATAGTTTACTTTTCTTAGAATAATAAAAATTGAAATATTATATTAAATAAAAAAATTGGGAACTATGCTATACTGTTATAAAAATATCATATTTTGATCCGAAATATTATTTCTCTTTCTTTTTTGTGCTTATTTATATTTTTATTATTGATTTTTTCCGTCACTGAAAAATTTTGCAAAATTTTTGATTTATGTTATTTTTTTAAGCAATAGTGCCCGAAATACCATCATATTTTTTTAAATTTCACGACGAAAATGAAATTGCGTTTTATACGAGATATTATCTTACTTTCAAAGAATTATTTTTCTCAAGTTACATTTCCTTCTTTCACTATATGGCTTAAAAAAATATTAGATGCAAATTTTTTAGCTTTTCTTTGAATGTGTCACTGATATTCGCGAGAGATTTTTAAAACGGAAAAATCTAGATCCCGTTAAAGACATAAACGTGACTCGACACCTAGAGAGACACCCATGATCGTGCACTTTTTCCATAGTGATTGCGTGAATTCACGGTTAATCGATTACGTCGTGCATTATTGACGCCAGAGAGGTATGATTTCTTGCGTGCGTAATTTCTCTGACAGGGGCTCTGTATGGAGAGCATATTTCGCCAAAAACGGGCCACAAAATCACGATGGCAACGACTGCGGTCGAGATTGCACGTTCAATTCCTTTTACGGTCGTCAACTCGTATAAACTCGCCGTTCGCTGTGCTAAGTACTATAGAAACACGCGTCAACGCGCATTACACTCGTCGGGCAAGGACCTGACAGGTAATGTTTCAACCGACCCTTACAAGGGAACCTCGTAAATTTGACGAGCAGGATGAAATATTCAATCGCGTATATCCAGGGAGACGCGCTCGCTCAATTTTCTTGTTTGCATTAAAGTGATTTGTATCAGCAATTTATGTGACTTATCGGCACACCAAGTTGTAATACCGCACCATCATTTACACGCATATGTGTGTGCGTAAAATATCTCTCTTTCTCTTCATATCTAAAATTATTATTATCTAACAAGTAAACTTACGGAAGTGTCACTCACCGATTTTAATGAAACTTTGCACATTTGTAGAACTATGATTCAGTTAAAATCGGTGAGTGACACTTCCGTAGGTTTATTTGTTAGAGAAAATAATTATAATACAATGGAATAAAACTAACTGTGAAATTCTGTTTCAATTAACTAGCAATAGTAGAATACATCCAAAATCATGATATAATTGAAAAGAAAGTGATTTCGCGTATAAAAATAAAATGAGAAAAAAATTTTCCGCACTCTTTCTTTTTTGTTTTCGAAAAAATTTTGAAGATTGAAAAATTGATTCGTTTTAAATTGAATCCTTTATATCTGTATATTAATTTATTTACATATTTATTTTCATTGTTAATTTAACAGGTCTCATGCTAAAATTTGTTCAGAAAAAAGAATTAGCCGAAACAATCTGCCTCGAGGTAGTAATCTTATGATTATAGACACGCGCGATGGAGTACACTTCCTGGAGAAACACTTCCGCCGTACTAAAATCATTTCGTTCCACTTCTATGTATTTACCCCAATTGTCTTTTTTAGAAAATTCAATATGCTATCCGTTTTCTCCGCGCGATTAATTCGCAAGTCGCTTTTCCACAAATTTGTTTCGACGACCGAGCTTCTTAATATCTCGGCTGACATTATCGATCATCATGAGAGCGTTGCAAGGAAATAATTGCACTTAATGATTGTAGAAAGTCATACAACAGACAAGCTGCTGCATTGTTCTGTTTGCGAATCCTCTCATTTATTACGATCGGCAATTTCGCGACAGCATCTTTTCCCTTATTGTCGCAGCTGCGTAATCATTGTCAGCTCTCTTACGCTTCCAATCTTATGTCTAAATGATCTTTCGATGATACTACTTGGCACAGATTTTGATGAACAGAGAGAATGCGCGAGAGTCTTGCTCGCTTTCCATCGCGTTCAATTTTATCATGCTGATCAAATCGGTAGATTACTCTTTGTGAAAATTACAATTATAGATTATACGAAAGCTTAATCTATATATAGTTCTAAATTTGCCATTCTTGCGAATCATAGAAGCGAATCTTAGCGAATCTTAGCGAATTTAAAGAAAAAAGAACTTTTAATTAAAACAGATTTTTTAATTAGATTTTTTGTCATAAGACTATTGTGTAAATTGTAATATTTCTTCAAATTTATTACACACATGTAATAAGAAATGTATGCATATATTTATAAGCGTTTTATTAATATAAATATAAAGATGTTTATATAAAATTATAATAAATTAGTAAAATAGATAGCTTCAACAATTATTTGATATTATTATTGCTTTAAATATTTTAAATTATTTCATTAAATGAGATAGACAAAAACTTTGGATTTTAATAAAAAGTTTGTTGTTTTTAAATGGAAACCTGTACAACTATATTGGTGAAGGTTGTTAAAATTGCCGTTCTAAACCGGAATAATAATTTAACTTCCTTTCTCTTTAAGTCAAGTTTATTACCTGCAACGTGAGAGCTAAAGTGTAAAGTAAACGTCCCATGTAATGATTTGATTGAGCAAAGCTACTTTCATCAAATGTTGTATAATCACAATCTGAATATTAATTATTAGAAACATTCTTAACGTTAAAATTTATTTCTTTCAAAAATCGTGGGAAAATGATTATTTAATAATTTAAATTTATAGTATATAAAAAATTTATAATATATTAAATTTATAGTATATATTATTTATAATTTAAATTTATAATATATAATTGTTGAAGTTTAATAGAGATTTAATTGCAACTATAAAATTATTAAATATATACAAAGTTATAAAAATAATAATTTTTCGTTGAAAAGCAATTTATTTTTATTCTTTTCTGCTAATTATATCTCTAATATTACGATTTATTTCCCGACCATTGTAAAAAAATTACCGAGGAATATTACCGCTGCTGTATCAAACGAGCGAATAATTTACCTGGATAGAACGTTCGCTTTCTCGACTGTGAGTTTACGTTAAAAACGAAATCGCTCCCGTATTGTGTCTTTAACAAACGTTACGAGATACAGACGGCAGTGAACTAAGTAAATCAATTAAGAAGCAGATGTAACGATTTCGCCGTTTCAGACAGTGATTTAGTAAAAAATTCAAGACTCGTTTCGAGATTGCGCCCGGAGGGATTTAGTATCTCGAGAGAGTGTTTTCTCCTACTTTCGTTGTCATTTCGCTTGCATCGCGAATAACTTGGTCAGTGCAATGCCAATACTCTCTCTCTCTCTCTTTTTCTTTATCTATTTTTCTCCCGAACTTGAAATGCACTTCACGTAGTATATGAATGGAGTTCCGTTAGCGTTAGTCACACACGGAAGAATATAGTTATCGTATCGCGGAAATTGCTACAAATTCGTGCAATTTATTTAACAGGAATTTATATTTTGTTGTAAGATATATATTTTCTTATATAATTGAAAACTTGAAATTTATCGACGAATGCAGAGATAAAATTTGCATTTGGTAATATTTCAGAGTATTACATTCTATACAATGCTATAATTTTAATTTATTAAAAATTTTAGGAATTACTATACATTATTTTCGTCCATATATATCCCTATATTTAATAATATAAAGATGTATTGTATTTATTTAATCGAAAATAATTATTCGAAAATTACATCTTACAAATTGTGATATATATCAGATTCCAAAATTATACCATAATTAGCGCAGCGCATTTCCAATTCCATTATATCTAATCGCTATCTATAAAGCAATTTGTATTCGGCAATAGCGATCGCAATCCACATTTCCCGATATATACGCATGCCGATACAATAATTTCGATATCGCGAAACTAGGACATTGTTCTACATCTAAGAAAACATGCTGCAAATGACTTTATTGACTGTTCTTCAATCTCTATGATTATTCTCAACGGGCATACGTGTTTATATATCACAATTTTGTGTGACTCGAAATGTTTCATATTTTATTGTACGATGTAAATGGTTCTCTTCTATTGACCTGCTTGATTGTTTCAATAGCAAGTTATTAATAATCGAATATTTTATTCGAACGGAATATTAATTAAATGTCACTGATTCTCACAATATTCGCTAAATTTTTTAAATTTATTTTCCCTTTAAACTTTGACCTATCAGTAGAATTATTATATAAAAATATACGATATAAAAATCCATTGTTACGCTAATCTACCTACTTACCTCAAAATACAACTGCTGGGTCATGGCGACTTTGTAAAGGGAGCATTTCTCTTGCTCATGCGGTAGCAGCAGGTGAGAACTGTCCACGTCGTAGAGCGTCTGCGTATTTTCGAAAATCGATGCTTCCTGATGCAATATACTCGCGCCGACATTATGGGGCGGTAGAATCGGCCTCCAGGACGACGAAATCGCCTGCGCTACGCACGAAAACGCAATAAAAGTAGCGTACGCAAGCAGAATCGACGTCATCTTCAGGAGGCTCGTCCCTTTCGAGCTACCTGCAAGTTGACAGATCAAACTTTTAGATCTATTATTGAGTTCATTAGTCGTTTTGAAATCCATATATCAATTCTTTGCGATCCAAGATGTTTTGTCTATTTTATTTCATTTAAAAGTAATGGATCGGTCTATTCATATTTTATAAAAATTAAAATATTTCTTACATATATTGCTTTTTAAGTTAAAAAGAGACAGTTCACATCTTCGTGCATTTATTGAGACATCTACATTATCGATTCGCAGGCAAATTCGCACGAATAAATTGCAATTCGTGCGTGCGGTATCAGCGTATTACGCAGCCAACGGATTCCTTCGCTCGGTTCATTATAATCGGGGGTTTACAACTGCTCGATATTGGAACAAATCCCGGGAAAGTTACGTCGAATCGGATTCCGATGGAACCTCTGTAGTCCACCTCGGCTATGTACTTGGCTGAATACAATATAATACAGAAAAAATATGGCGCGCACGCAACAGCATCATTTCGTTGCGAAATTTAATTCAGGCAAGCGTAACGAACGTTATGTATCGCTTAAGAATGCAAGGATCGCGACGATAGTATCGCTATTTTTTTTCATAATGTTTGCATACGAGAGAGAGAATACGCGATATTTTTATCATTATATCGAGCCTCTTTGAGATGTCGTGATGTAGGACTTGCTAAACGGCAATGAGACTAGACCTAGATACAAGTAGATATTGCACTAAATACTTTCTGCATTTTTTCTTTGCCAAGATAATTAATGTTTTTGATTAATTATTTACATATTTTTAAATTTGATAATTAATTTATAATTGGATTTTGATAACACAATAATTCTAATAAAATCATCAATATTTATTTATTTATAATTTTATTTTTTTTTTGTCTTTCTTTATAATCACTTTGTTTTCCATTAAATATGTTTCTAGAGTATATTATCTTTAATTATAAAATATGTCTATCAACGTGCCTATAAACACTAGGTTTTGTTATTTACATTTATATAAGATATTTCAAGACGCTTCGATATCGAAAACCGCATTTCCTGACATACTCTTTTACGTAACGTACATCTGTCTCATGCTCGTAAAATCGATGGAAATGACAGTTTGCACAGAAAATGTAAAATTGCATCGCGTTAAGAAAGAGCGAGGATGGATTTTACGATTAATATAACCCACATCTAATAGTTAATAATTTCCTAATTGCGAATCGCCATTGCATTAAAATACACTTCTGGATTTTTAACTATCGAGAATTGCATCGAGAAATTAAATTAAAATTCATCTTTAATTTAGAGTAAAAAATAATAAATATATTTCATATTATTACAAATATTTATATCCATATGATCCAGTTAATTTTTTAATGTTAGCATAAATGGAAAAAATAGATATATTAGATTATTAAAAGATTTTTAATATTATGTAAAATATTCTGGTGTATAAGAACTAAGCAATTTCAGTAGCATTTTTTTCAAGCAAATTTGAAACTTGCTCGAGACAATTTCTGTTGAAGAAAGTTATGATTTATTCTTCTATAATTATTTTTAATAGTTATTTATATAATTATTTATTTGTAATTATAAAAATCGATTTAAAGAATATATATAAAATTATGTAAAAATTAATCATCGAAAAGCGAAAGCTTTTAGTTGTTAATATCATCGAATAAAATAAGAGATAAATTTTATGTTTTACCTCGGTTATAAGTAAAACCGGTACGACTAATAAATCCATATACGTCAAACGGCAGTAATAACGGAACCGAAACGCGGGAATGAAGCAAAACGTAATTAACGACAAGATTGACTTCCGGCATCGAAAGATCTCCGACATCCGACATAGAAAATTCACTCGCATCTTTAAAGTAATGAATAAGATCTCATGCTCATATATAAAACGTGAGGAACTGAAAATGATACGAAATTAAAGTGGCATTAAGTAGAGTATATCAAGATCTTTATGTAAATGTTTCTCAAATTAATATAATGAAAAGTTTATCTTATATGAAAATGTATCAATAATACACGTAATAAAATAATTATTATTTAATAACTTAATTATATTTAATTAATACTAATGGTTTTCAGATATAATTTTACAAATTTATTAGCAATATCTAATTATTCGAAAATGTGTTATAATCCGATTACTCGAAAACTTATTATTATTATTTGGATTAGTCATTAATTAACATTTCCAAAATAATACTTATTATTATTATTATTATTATTATTATTATTATTATTATTATTAAAAAATGTAGATTTTAAATTGAATTATTGATATATTATTGAAAGTTGTGTACAATTCACTGTAATAATCTTTTCTTTTTAAAAGATGCGAAGGGAAATTTATCCCTTTGTGTCAACTGTCTTCTACTGCTTATGTTAGAAGCATCATTCTCATCAACAGAGTCATTAATGCAACTTTTCACTTTGTCATAAGAGCTTTTGACGTATCTTGTGTAGAGTGCAGATTGTAGTTACTTTGTAACACTATCATGATCAAACAAATTGCGACCAACAGTGAAAGCTATCAAAGCAAAAATTAAAATGCAGTGTCCTGAATATTCCGGCGACATTGAAATGACTATACCCTTTTGCATGAATCATGCCAATCTCCTGCCGGATTTATATGACATCAAATGTATATCAATTTCCTCTTTGTAAAACAAACGATGCGTAACGTGTAGCGATATTGTGATATTGTTATAATATTACTACATTTGGCTAATATTCTTCTAACTATATCAACAAATAATTGTTTAAAAAAGAATAAATAATAGAAACGAATAAATAATAGAAGAATAAATAATAGAATAATAGAAACAATAATTTTAACATTTCAATTAGACATCAAAGAATCATTAAAGAAAGAGAGAGAGAAGAAAAATTTATTGACTTAAAAAAAATTTATAAATGAAAATTTTTATTATATTATTATTATTCGCATCAAATTTTTATTCACAAATAAAACTTTTGACTATTTATTTTTTCACGAAAAAGATGAAATCAAACTTTTTTATAATATCATGTTTATTGCGCGATAGATTAACACTCAACAAGCGAAAGAAATTATACATATATGAAAATATTGTATTTATAAGATTTTAATGTATATATAAATTTTAGTTATTTACACTATATAACTTACCACAATATTTAAATAAAATCAAAAGACACTTCCGTACAAAAGTCACAAGTTTCAACAATTTTTTTTCTCTTATAAACACCACGAAGGATCGATAACTCACGCAAAATTAATGTCTCTTTCACGAAATTTATGTTTGCGCGTAAAACTCACCCAGAGGTAGTGATTAACGAGGCCCGTAGAATGGAAGTAGATCCTCGCGATCGTAGAACAGAAAGGTAACTGTCCGCTCGTTGAGCTGGTAAGCTCGCAGGAGGCACACACCTTTCCTCTACTTGCTTGTTTGATACACCTTTTGCCTCGTTTGAGCCTCTTGTCTCGCTCTTCCCCGACGTAGTCAGACATCCCGATCGTTCGTTCACCCATACGTATAGGGAAAGCGCAAATCATGTATCAATCAAATCAATTTTTAATAATTTGTTTTTATTTCGAGAATATATTTTGTGGATTTTAAATTAGAAACAATAGGCTTAGGCTCACATCTCTTGAACCATTCTTGAAGCTTGCATCTATATCTTTTGCACGTAAAAAATACGATCAAGATATCACGCGAATAAATATAATAATTATTAATTAAAAGCAAATTATTATTATCTTTAATCTATCAAGATTGTGATACTTTAAATAGAATGTGCAATGTTTATTGTTCATATTTGCTAAATCATGTATGATATTATACTGTTTAATTTCATAATTAATTACATTATTATTCGTAATTTATTATTATCTTGTATCTCTTTTCCTACTGTATATAAAAATGTAAAGCTGATTGAAATAAATATTGGCTCACTGGCCTTCAGGCTAAGTGCACACTGATGCAATAGCAAGCTGTATGCAAGTATAATACGATATAGTGTAATAGTTTGACATTTGTTTTTATAATTAATATGATCACTCATATGTCTTATAACTAATATGTCATCAACTATCTCTTCTTGCAATTATTTATTCATATTTAATAATTATTCATATTAATAATTTCATATTTATTATTATAGAAATATATAAGATTCAATTAATTTCGATTTTTCAAAATACCTTAAAATTTTGTCTTAATATACATAAAATATACATAAAAGATTTATAAAATTATAACAATTTTTTTATTGCGGCAAAAATTACTATTATATTACTACTTTTAAATAATTGTTTAATTTCACTATTTTAAATGCATATAAAGCGCAGTGTGTTAAAATTTGCATATATTAAGCTAAAGAGAGGCAATATAAGATACGTGAGAGGCAGTCGATCGCTTCTTTGATTACGTATACATCCATAAGTTCCAAAGAGAGTATTTCTCATTGCTTTTACTTTCTCCGGCATTTTACGTATATGTTACGTGGCATGTAATTGTCAAATCTGATTGGGATGAGATCGAGTTCTGTTGCAACAGACCTGCGTGTCACGTAAATTTCAATCGAAGAGATATTAATGCGGATAGCGGTGCTTGCATGATACGCGCTGGCAGTGAACAGTTTATTTGAATCTCGTTGAAACGACATCGATCAATATGCGTATTATGTGTCACGGATCATTCTATCGAGGTATATCGAGTTATTTCCATATTCGCGATTGATTGCCGGAAGCCTTTATAGCATCGTTTGCTCGCGAAACTGAAAGATGTTTTCAACGAAGGCGACTACCTGAATAATTCGCGTAATCGAAGATGACAGCAAATATATACATCGGTCAGTAATTTGCATATATATTTGGTTGATGAACGTAACGTATCGGGTAATCTCTAGTCATCGATTATTTAACGAAGTCAACCTCTCCTTGATGAATATTGATGACATCTTAATTTCCAATGTAAACTCTCAAGACTTTCAAACAAATGTAAATTTGTATAATAGATATTATATAATCAGGTGATTATGCAATTGACGAATATATTCGAATGTCATTTGACATAATAAAATAGCTGCATAAATATTAAATTCGAACAAAAAATTGAGTAAAATTTATCTTAGAATTTTCATGAAACTAAAGGAACATTCGTTAGAAACGAACTAAGACGATGTGAACGCGAGTATTGGAAATTCAGTCTACTTAATGAAGGTAGACAGTCTCGAAGGCGGCGAATATGTCGTCACCGCGCGACGACCGCAATCTTTTTTCTCTCTCGATGCTCTCCTCCTATAGAAAGTGAGCACAGGCGTAGTGCGTAAGTGTATTGTACGGAATAATATAAGAGAAACCCATACAACAAATTACGAAACATCTCGATCCAGACTGGAATATCCAGCTCTCGAGGTGGCTGAGGATGCCTCGCGGCTAAAAAAATCGAATCCGGTCGAGACTGAACGGTCAAAAAGTTTCCTTTCTAGATCATAATAGAGCTACCGAGTTGGCGAAATTAATTATCAAATTTCCTTCATTTTATGCGTGTCTTTTTTATACAATAGTCATGAAGAGAAAAATGATATCTTTGTAAATGATGAACGATTGACAGTGATATCGCGTAATTAGTACAAATTTTATCATTTTTACTGTTATTTTTACTGAATTATTTACGTCAACGGATATTTCACAAACGGTAATCGAATTAGCTAGCTAGTAATTGTCGATTAACATATATTTATGTACATTAACGAATTTTTATAGCGAATTAAAATTGAATAATTTTGACACGTGCAAAATTATTTCCAGCGTCGAAAAAATGCATATGTCTTTTCAAAATATAAGTTAAATTAAAAATTTCATTTTTCATTAAATAAATTTGATAATAATTAAAAATTCTAATATTAGTAACAAAGACAGAAGACCCAGAAAAAGATAACAATTTCAGTCGTAATTAATTTAAGATCTTAAATCAGCGATTTTGATACGTGATATGAAAAATGAAAATTATTTGTGTGATTTTTAGATCCTTTTTTTTTTCTCTTTCTTGTTTATATTTTTCATAAATTGGAAGATTCATTTAATCATTAATCAGCTGATTTATAATTGACGTGCCAATTACATATATGTCACGTAATGACATCCTTTGTTACGTACCGTGTAACTAGTGCCACACGCGTATCAGTATCATCGGATTTCAAAACCGGATTGAGAGAATGCACAATGCAATCCCGCCGAAAAATCCTTTCTCCCTTTCTCTCTCTCTCTCTCTTTTTCTCTTGGGATCGTTGATCGCGTTACATAAACCGTGTGTTGTATGCAGAATCTCTCCCATCGCAGAATGGTGGCAGAAAATCCGATTTTATCGGATAGGCTTCCAAAGAGTTTACCTGCAGTGCGTTAGGGGTTTCGCATTTGACCGGGTGGCGTTTGAGGAATTATGACTCACCAACGTTATTACGTTTATTTGCGTCACTCGGGATGCTAATGAGGAGAAAACTAGAATTAGAGTAAACGCTCCACCAGCGGTTCCCACGAAACTGAATGATCGAGTTGCGGTCGCAATTCCGTTTTGACCTTCTAGCGAATTAGGACAGCAGATCGCTTGTCTGATTCATCGAATCGGTCTCAATTTCAACTGCGATTGATTAATTGAGTTCAATCTAACCATTTCATGCTTTTATTTAATACTCCTTCTTATTTATTTTGTCTCGTTATTATTGAAGTGTTTATCGCAGCGTCATTAATTCTCAATTGTATTTTACGTATCATTCTCTATTAATTTCTCTAATTTTATTATGATTCTCGTATAAAATATATAAATACATTATAACTTGGATGATTTTTTTACGCGTTGTAATACGTGAAAAGTGCGTAGATGAATAAGTTTACAGGCTACATATCGCATTTACATTTTAAATATGCGTTTTCCTGACACACTTTCTGCATCGAATGTCACGATAAAATCCGCGTGAAGATCGTTTCATGATCAATTCATCGTAATGGTTACTGTTTTAATGCACTTGCATCCATTTCACAAACTATTGCGGCATAATATATAACATTAACTCACTTCGTTGCGTGTTATTTCCCGCCGGATGTGTCTAATGGCATCGATGGAAAATAATCGTGCAATTATTCAAGTTCTACTCTTTTATGTTCTTTCCTGTTACACTAATTAATTATAAGTGTTTTATATTAATGACGAAATATATTCTCGATTTCAAGTCACAAAAACGAAGCGACTTTTCTCAGCAAAAATTAAATATTTTATCAATTAAGTGTTCTATTTAATTAAAAATTATACTTATATAATTCAGATATACCATCTCAACTTTGTCATAATTTTTTATTTAACTATTTCTGAATCAATCTTTCGAATAAAAATGTTAAAGCGAGTTTAGATAGGAATGCAGAATGATATATGGTTTTCTTTTACGAGATGAAAGTTTAAAGATCCGATATACAGACTTTGAACGTCATAACATTAAAAATAGCCAGCGGAACATTTTACAGATAATTTAACTTGCACGCTATGCGCGAGAAACTAGGAAGAACCGAGAAAAATTCTGCGTTAGTTATCTAATTTCGATAATCGTTTTATTAATTAATAGGATATTAATCGAAGCAAATTTCAAGATTGTTACATAATTTTGACAAAGCAATGAGTGCTCGTCATGACTCTAATCTCTCATTTGCGATTCTATCGTTGTTTAATCGCAACAATTACGTGACACAGATAATCTGAATTAGTTTTTATCCTTGTCTATCTGCGCAAGATTTCTTCATTAAATTCATGTTTTTGATGACATATTTTATAATGAAGTTTATGTTGATTCCGTTGAATTCAACCCAGAAATTTACAAAATTCTTTTACATTCTCTACATTAATATAAAACATAAGAATAGAAATTTTATAGTTAGCAATTGTAACTTTGTAACACTAGCAATATTAATCGTGCTCACCATTTAGAATGCAAAAAAATGTGTATCTGATTGTAAAAAGGAAAAATATATAAATCAAAAACACAAAGCAATAAAGGCAAAGAGCCCTAGACACAGATGGAAGTGTGTGAAAGAATTTTTTAACAAATTATAAATTGTATTAGAAATATACAGTTATATGCAACTCTTCGCGTATTACAAATTTTCAACTCAACAATATTATTGTAACAAACGTTTCGACCTCATCCAGGTTCTTTTCAATATCGACAAGTTAACAACCAGTTGTTGAAAAAGATCTGGATGAGGTCGAAACGTTTGTCACAATTTTTTGGGCTCTTTACCTTTATTGCTTTGTGCTTTTGATTTATATCATACGAGCCTCTCATTGCATTCTCTTGTTAATTTGAAAAATATATCCTACAAACGC